GCAGGAACTTCCTGGTGTGGCAGAACAGGAACAAGCCAAGCCATGAGACCCTTGCTGGGGCAGTAGCTGCCATGGTCCACCAGGCCAGTTGGCTTAGTGGGTAAAGCTGATCGTGGAGCCAGCTGGCCTATTGGGTAAAACCAATTGTGGAGCTGAAGGTTGCAGAGTCAGGAGCCAAAATGCCAAGCCAGGGTCGGGAGCTGGGAATCAGCAACCTCGTTCCTGAGTCCAAAGGAAAATCCCCAGGGCGAAGTCCAGGAGTAAACCACGCTGGAGTCAGGAGACCAGTCTGCAGGGAGAATGCAGAGGCTGAAATCTAGGAGCAAGCCGAAGGCAAGGTCAGAAACCAGGGAAATCAGAGATGTTGCTGGGACAGGGGATGCTTAGAGACTGGAGACCGGTGTGGGGTGCAGCCAGGCTCAGGTGTTGGTGGGGTTCCTGAGATGCAGGCCCAGGACTGACCAGAGGGAAGGGGCTGGGGTCTGCTGGCCTTTTAGTACCTGGGTCAGCGGGCTGCCAGGCAGGAGCCTGTCTGAGCCTTACAGAGCTGACCCAGGCTGTGGTGCAGGAGCCTTATACCACTTTACTGTAAATAGTGCTGTGAGTGGTTCATGCACCTCAAGTCTCATCAAGACACTATACATGTTGTAACAGCACTGCTCCCTCGCTCTGTGCAGGACTGGGGCTGTCTCACCACCTTGCCCGCCTGCGCTGCTTGCAGGGGCAGGAGGCCGCGCTCGGTCATCAGCATTTCAGCTTTCAGACCTTTGGGAGTGGCATGGAAATATTCTTTGCCTAAAGCATCAGGGAGGGTGAGGCTGACCCCATCAGCCACCAGGAGCACCAGGATCAGGGGTGAAAAAATGATCTATTCCTTGGAGGAGGAAGAATAGCTCATGAGAGGCAGTAGCCCAGCGAAGGAAGACTTCCCTGGCAAAACCAGACCAGCTCTGCCAGCCCTTCTGAAGGGCTGCCTTTCTTCCCTGTGCCGCTAGGTGCCAGCCTGGGCCTGCTTTTGGGCCCAGGAATGAGCCTGCTGGCCAATTTGTGCCTGTTTCCCCCAGCTGAGCGATGCCTCCTCCCTCCGCTAGCAGGAATATAACAAATGTCCATTTTGCAGGGCATTTTCTGTGCCAGGTCCTCTGGGGAGCCAGAGAGTTTTTGCATATCAAGCAAGGGGACAGGGGACTTTGGATAATGATATTCGGTGTATAAACAGAGCCCCTGAGTAGACCTGGCCCTGCAGTCTCTTCCAGTTTGATGTATGAGGTTATTATGTAGCAGTGAGGCAGGTTAAGTGATGCTTGTCAGGAGCTGCCGCCATACAAACCCCGGTGAATACGTTAGTAATTGGGGGTGGGGGGGCTGACTTGTGAGGAGAGGACTCAGCATCCCCCCTTCCTCCCGGCTGGGCTGTGGCTGGGCTGCTAGTCCCTGAGTGTCCCAGGCCCTGCTCTCCAAGGGGTCTGAAGAATAACAGCCTGGTAATGGGGAAGGAAGCAATATGTTGAGAGGCAGGGAGAGAAGCCACCACTGCTGGACACACAAAGGGCTGCCCGGGCCAGTGAGGTCTGCCCCTCTGTCTCCTCCTGGCTTTCTCCCCCAGGGTTGTGCTCTCCTCCTCTGCTATCATCCTCCCCTTTCCTTCCCTCTCTTCC